TGCGTAAACCGGCTACGTGAGTTCGAGGTAGCAATGTTACGTTATGCACATGACCACATGGCCGTTGTCTCGACAAAAAACAGTGACGTTGTTTCGCGCTGGGCCACCAGGTCGGCCCCACAGCGACGGGTGACGTCGTGTCGACGTAGCACTGCGCCCTCCCGTCAACATAGGCAAGGTTGCGGGCACGACGGTGCATCGTAACGATATTTCGAGCTAGGTTTATTGGTTTCTTTTGCGTGAACCAGCTACATGAGTTCGAGGTAGCAGTGTTACGTTATGCATATGACAGCATGGCCGTTGTCACGACAAAATTCAGTGACGTTGCTCCGCGCTGGGCCATCAGGTCGGCCCCACAGTGACGGGTGACGTCGTGTCGACGTAGCAGTGTGCCCTCCTGTCAACATGGGCCTAGGTGTAGGCACGACGGTGCATCGTAACGCTATGACGAGCTAGGTGTATAGGTTTCGGTTGCATCGACCGGCTACGTAAATGAGAGGTAGCAGTGAGACATCATGCGTATGTGTGCATCGTTGTTGTCACGACTATTGCATGTGAGGGCGGTTCGCGCCACATCATTAGATCGGCACGACCGCGACGATTGACGTCGTGTCAACGTAGCAGTGTGACCTCTTGTCATCATGGGGGTCGTTGTAGGCACGACGGTGCACCGTAACGCAGTACTCTGCTTAGTGTTGAGGCTTCAGTCGCATCACATAGCTACATTGATACGACGTAGTTGCGCCACATTATGCATATGACGTTCTGGACGCGTCTCTTATAAGAACCAGTGACAGTGCCCCACGCTAGACGACCAGGTCGCCACCACCGCGACGGTTGACGTCGTATCTACGTGGCAGTGTGACATCGTGTCATCCTAAGTATGGTTGCACGCACGACATTGCCTTGTAACGTTGCAACACGCTAGGTCAGCGGGTTTTGAGGCCATCACTTGCCTACGTTTGAGTGAGGTAGCTGTCTCACATGATGTACATGTGTGTCTGATTGTTTTACCAACGAAACAAGTAAAGGCACCCTGCGCTGGATCATCAGGTCACCTCTACCGCGATGCTCGACGTCGTGTCGACGTGTAAGGATGACCGCGAGTCATCGTGGGCAGGGTTGTATGCAACCCGGTGATTTGTAACGCTGCATAGCGCTGGGTGTAGAGGTTTCAAGAGCATTACGTGCCTACTTGATTGCGACGTAAAATGCATTAAATGTAGGTGCCCATTTTCGCTCAAATCAATGCGCCTTCAATACGTAATAAAAGCAACATTGCCGCAACGTGCGCTGGTGATCTGGGGACCACCATAACGTATTCATGTTGAGGCTGCATAGCCGCAACGTGTTCATGTTTGTCGGGTTGGAGCACTGTCTTGTAAGCGGACGGGAAGCCGCTGTTTCGTGCGCTGAGAGCACCAGAGCGCATTCCGGCGGCGCGAACCCTCGGCGAAACTCTCTACCGGGCCGGGGAAAACACTTCAGGTGGAAAAGGCTGGGGCGAGGCGAGTAGCAAAATGCCTTGTCGGGGGAAAAAGTCAGTAAAAAATAATTTTGTTAAGGCAGGCCATGACGTTACTGGAAGCAACCTGTTGTTGTTAATACCCACTGTACCTCCTTGTTTTACACTATAAAAAAGCCTAGTCACCTTGATTAAAATCGTCATCGTACTTTTCGTTCACTTTTCTAAATATTATTATTGCGTGCTACTCGTACCCTACAAATTTCACAATGAAATGTTACAGTACAGCTTTAAACTAGTGTGACTGCTTGATTGTAGATGTTGTTTGATGTTTTTTGTTACAGTGTAGGGGTTGGGCAAGCCACCGTGTGGCACGCGGGTATTTGAGGTTTCAGGTCACATTCCACCCCGCCGGTGTGGACGTAAAAAGCTGCAAAGCACACAGAGGGGCCTCTTTCCACACCCTGCCAGACCGGCGTTTTATTCGCCAGCAATGGAATGTCAAGCAGCACCACAAGCTCGAAAAAGAAAAAAAAAAGAGACGGACGAATTGCAAAGAGGTG